ATTTTACAGCTAAGGTAACTGAGGTTCTTGAAACATTTTCATTGAAGGGTGCCATGGGATATGATCTCTGATCCCAACAGTCATGCTCTTTGCTATGCCCCTTGTGCCATTAGCTGATTATCAGCCCCAGACCTGGACTGCACTGGGCCAGTTTGAGACCCTGGTGCTGTCCCTGGTCTGGGGGCAAAAATCAGCTGATTGCTGGCCTTGGTGCCAGACCTGCCACACATTTGTTTTGAAACACCATACAGACCATTTTTATGATTGGTTTGTCATTTTATAGTGCCTTAAATTAGGTGCCCATGTAGCAACCTTGCCATTTATGCTGTGATTAGTATGTTAATATGGCAAAAATGTAAGATATAGAGGGGGTTTGAGAGTACACAGTGACTTCAGACAGTCAGGAATGGGATAGTACACCAGACTCGAATATGGTATTAACTATACCATTGTGCCTTTCAGAAGAAAGGGGCCAAATTATTTTTTATATATTTTTAACCCATACTAACAGTGTGGGTCTTTGTTTCCTAGAGACGAGGGCACATATTGATTATCATGAATCTGCTACTTCATCCAAACTGATGCTTGTGGTTTACCCGCTATCTGTGCTGCATGAAGTAGTGCCATGTAGGGATGTCTGAGATGGCTCTAAACAAGTTTAACTGTGCTGTTTCCAATACCTGAGGTAGGTTGGATATCTCTGCATGGTGTACTGCATTGTAAAATGTGGGATATTCCTAGTTCAAGTAGTAGAGGCACATGCTTTTATATTCAGAGGTTCTGGTTTGATTCTTGCAGATAACCCAGACATAGATGTCATGGTTGTCTGGAAAAATAAATGACAGGAACAGAACTCAGAATCCTGGTATAACTAATGTTCTAGTACAACCTCATAAGTAGTTATATAGTAGTACTGTGGCTCTCCTTATGGGGCAGTAGACAGTGGCATGCTATCTCCTACTTTTAAGGCCATGATAGCAGCATTGTCAAGATGATAATCTGCATCTCATTGAAAATGGAAAGACAGTGCTTGAACTTAGTAGAAGAATAATTGCGTAACTGAACGTTGTTTTAAAACCTAATTCACTAAAGCATTCTTTACTTGTAGTTCCCTTCAATTTAGTATGGACTTTTTGATGTGTTGACCTGATAGAAAACAGGTGGCTGTGTTACTATTTTAGGTGGTTTGCTTCAGACTACACAAGACCTTTAGTACTGCGCATTTTCCTTTGGAGAGCTGCTTTTCAACATAATGTACTCCCTTTTGTCCTGATACTTTCCCAGTGTCTTTATGTAGTTGTGTCTTTAAGAATGCAAGTGGTAATGACTGCACAGTACTTCAACAATCAAATATTAAGCAAAATAAAAAGCAACATTTAAAAGAAACTTTTTTATGGCTTCTAAGCTGGGGGTTCTCAATCTTTTATAGAGTGTGGGCCACACTAAAAATGACAGATTGTGTCATAGGCTATCTCCTCACTTGGTCTTGACCTCATAATATCCTTCTGGCAACTGCAATAACTGTTTACACTGAAAATTAACATAAGAAGTATAGTTAAAATAGACACCATATCTTCAGAATGTAATTTAGTAGCTGAACACAAAAAGGAAAGCCAAGACTGTGCAGCCAGTAAGCTCTGTGAACCATCGGGTGCATCTGTATTTGCACTTTACTGCAGTTGGCTAGTTAGCTCCACAGTAGTGTCATAGTCTATATGTGTGCCGTTATTAGGGCACTGTAAATTAATTAACTCCACCATAAAATAGTACTGTTGGGGACAGTTCTATCCTACAGTGGAGTATTTTGCTGCACTGAAACACGCATATAGATGGTAATGGGAGCTGATCGGGGCACCAGGGTGCTAAAGTGTGGGGACTGCCTGTTGCCTACCCTCGCGCTTTAGCACCCTTGTATCCCAGCCAACCCCTCTGCCACTTAAGTAGTTGTCCTCTGGCTGATAGCTTCTTCTAATTTGTCCCCACCTGGCAAGGGCAACAGCAAGTGGGATTGCTCAGCAGTGGACCCACTGGCTCTACTCCTCCTCCTCAGCCAACTTTGTTTGTGATCTGCATGTGTGCGTAGGGTTCGAACCACCTGGTCTGTGATTTCGAAACGTCATTCTCTCTCCCTTCTGCTGGACCTCAGTGGCCACAGGGGGACATGATTGGGCTGTGAAGTTATGAGAACAAGGGACTGGCCTTATTGCATACAAATATTTTATAGATTATTGCTTAAAAATCTTCTGAGCTGGGTGACATCTTTTATTGGACCAGCTGCATAGTTGAAATAAACTTAGACAAACTTTTGGTATCACAGTGCCATTCTTTGGGTCTCTGGGAGACAAGCAGAGACTAGAGTTCTAGTGTCTCTGTAATTTAGCATGTTTCAGCAGTCATTTGTTATACATAGTTTTTATCTGGTTCCACCCACATAGTTTTCATGAGGGCATTTGGTGCACTGAATGAGGTTTACTACATTCTGAGATATCAACAGTCCATGGGTCATGTGTGTCTGGTTTTATTGTGAGGAATGTTGATTGTTGTGGCAGTAGAGATGAGTTGATAGATCTTGCATTTCTTGCTAAGGCAGGCCTAGGTCCCATTAGGCACCTATTGATCAGGGGGAGTTACTTCTGATGATGAGCTGTGCAAAGTTAGGGGGCTGTTTTAAAGGCCAGGGGGGTAGGTGGAGGCGTGGTGGCAATATTCCTCTCAAGGTCTGGTCCTTTTCACATACAGGCTGCAACTGATAATTCTTCTTATTGATTCAAGTATGGGATGGTAGATGACAACCTAGAGTGTGTAGCTAGCTGGGGGTTTCTTCTTGTATTGTAGTAGGTTGCTGTAGGCTATTTGGGTTGCTTTCTAAGATATGGTCTATTTTTCTGCTGGAGTGTCCTTTCTGGGTAAAGGCCCTCAGATACTACTGTATCTGTTGCTTTTTGGAGAATATTGTGACACCCATCTCACCAAACTGAAAACTGCCATTACACCCTGACCTTGTCCAACCATGCAGTTGGTCCAATAAGGGATACCACCCATAGAAATTTTTGCCTCTCACATATGTCCTGGGCCATCGTGGCTACATCACGTCAGCACTACCAAACCAAGGCACAATCATTTCTGTAAATGACAGAGCTGGGCATAGAATTATGGAGTCCTGATTCCTAATTTTCTGTCTCGGCTCCCTTACTTTCTTTAGTAACCTGCTAACTGCAAAGATGTTTTTCTTCCTGAAAAGCTTAAGCCACAGAATTCATATTAAAATAACCTGAGGAATCTTAAGTAGGATAGTTCCTATGGGAGAATTTGTGATTTGGAAAAGAGCTAAAGCGTTTCCAGGGATGTGTAATAGGAGGAGAGAGACCAGAAACAGCTAGTAGATAATGAAGTTACCATTAAAAAGGTTAACTCAATTAGCGGAACATCAAGACCATTAAAAAGGAGAGATGATCCTTAACACTGGTGGAGTGAAGAACAAGAGCCATTAAGTCAACTGACTCCCTCAGCTGCCTGAATAGTAATACCACTGCTGCTGCACTGTGGAGGAGGAATTGGAGCAAGATGCTTCCATCCCAGACAGAAAATCTGCCTGGTGACAGTTTTCTGGACACACATCTTTCTTGGGGTAACTAATTAATTGACCAAAGGCATGACGACAATTCCTAAATGGTTCAGGGATGTTCTTCAGTGGTGTAACAAGCTGAGCTGGCGCCCAGGGCAGACCCTGCAGAAAAGCATGCAGTTCCCAGAGCTGGGGCCATATGTCTTGCCTTTTCGTACATAGAGGACTCTTGTCTCCAGCAGTAGCAGTCTGGCCCCTATGCCAACACTAAATGAGAAGTCTAAAAATTCTAAATGCAGCAATTATATGTTGTGCCACACAAACCAGGACTAGACTGTCTTTTTAAGTAAGAAACTTAAGCCTTGTTGGGTTTGATAAAAGGGAGATGTGTAGTAAGCAAAGGCATAATTAGGTTGTAGATCTCTCCACCACAGGTTGGTATTGAGGCCAAGAATTTAGCAGGATTCAAAGAATGAAATATTTATGTAGATGATAAGAATGCCTGCAACCTCATTAAGTAAGTAATAAGAGAGAGAAACTTTCATGCAGTGGGGCTGAGGGCAGCTATTAGCTCATGGGGGTAGAAAAATACTTTGCTCTAGATGAGCAGGGTATTCTTTTAAAGGGTTTCCTGAACCTTCCCCTGGTGTTTTTGCACATAAGGGATAGACATGGAGTTAGGCAGCACACTGCTCTGATCTGGTATAGCAGTTGTAGTCCCAGAAAGCTCTGGTCATATAGTTCCTTCTCACAGCTGCAAGCTAATGGGAGATGCCCCTGTCTGTTGCAGAGCTGTTACACCCAGTTGGTATTGGATAAACAGTTTTAAAATAGCTTATGCATGATTTGAGCTTGGTTGATTTGGTCCTGTCATTTACTGTCCAGTGTGTGGAGAGCAGTTGGGTATTTGTAGTGTGACGGGATAAACACACAAGGGAACTTGCTTATTTCAGTTTTCAGTGAAGTGTTTGACTTCAGTAGTTCTCTCCCTCTGTGGTGCATGTGGTTTTTCTTTTTAAAAAAACAATGAGTATTTTCTTTTCATCATGGATATAGTCTCATGCATTTTGATGCATGAAGAATGATCAAAGAAAGGCTAGGGGGAGGAGCAATTAACTTTAAAGAGTCTAGCACTTTATTGTAAACTAGATGGTGAATTTAAGCAATTTTTGTTGGATAATTGAAGGTAGTAGGACAAAGACCCAAGCATAGATGCAAGGTACCAGTCTGCTACAGTATGAAATGCAATGGGCTTGATTGACATCTTCTTACCCAATTTCAACTCTGCTGCAACACTGTAAGGTCAGTGGAGTTACAGTGTTCCAAAACCAGTGTAATAGAAGGCGAATCACAGCCAGTGTCTGTTTTTAGTGCAATTGGCTGAGAAGACAAATATTAGATATTCCAACCAGTAACTTTTTTTTTCTATCAACAGGATCAACTTTATGTAGCTATGGCCTACAGCCATCTGAGTACACTTCAGATCCCAAAGCCTCTGAGTTGTGTCCTAAGCTCCCAGTTCCAGAGAGGTAAATTTAAGTACTTTACACTAATTGCTTGCATTTTATTTCTTTTTTTTATATATATATATTTTAACAGCTTAATTTAACTCACAAAGAATAGTGTCACTCGCACCTGTTATTTTAACAAGCTACTTCTTTTAGTACAAAGGTCACTTTCAGAAAGACACTATCAATACTTTTTTTTTTTTAATCTCTTGCTTAGCCGTGTGACTAGAGTTGAAATCTTAACAATTTTGTTTGCTTTTTAGCATTGGTGTTGTGCTGTGTGTCAGATTGTTTGTTACCCTTCACCCAAGACTTGGCTATAATTTAGTGATTCTGTTTGAACCCAATTCATAAAGTATTTTGAGTTCTTTAAGGATGAGAAGTGATATGTGCAAAAAATGACAACTTTGCCATCTATAAGATTTAGTTTACATTTTATTCAGCCAGTGAGACTGGTTTGTTTCACTTCCTGATTCTATATATTGTCAGAGTATTCAATTCTAGATTAAATACCTGAAAGAGAAGAGAACTAGAAAAAAATTGAGATAATCCCGTTCGCCCATTACTGCTGTATTTTCTCACATACGTTATACTCCAGAATATAATACACAGCTTGCTTATGAGAAGCAGAATGAAGGAGGGGAAAAAGATTGTTCCAGAGTTATGGCTACACAGAGCAGGGACGAAGCCTACTCTTTAGCTAATTCATCCTCCCTTTCCTGTATAATTAAAGTTGAGACCATATCTGCTGCTGAAGACTGGTCTCCATGGGCGGATCTGTGACTTTCCAGGGAGGTATAATAGGAGGAAAGAGACCAGAAACAGCTAGTAGATAGCAAAGTTGCCATTAAAAAGGTTAGCTTGATTAGTGGGACATCAAGACCGTTACAAAGGAAAGACGATCCTTAACAGCTGTGAAGTGAAGAACAAGAACCAGCTGAATAGTAATACCATAGTTGCTGAACTGTGGAGGATAAATTAAAGCAAGATGCTTCTATCCCAGACAGAAAATCAGCTGACCCACTTAATACACAGACCCCTGGGGACTATTTTTTGGAGAAAATTTTGTGCCGTATGTTAGAAAATATGTTATGCTTTGTAAACAGGGTACTCTAGTATTAGTGCTTAAAATTTCAGCTAAAAGCCATCCCACCTAATTATATTTATTAAATATATGGTGGAAGGAACCTCACAATTATCCAGTTCAGCCCCCTAGTTTCATAGGAATTGTATCAAATGAGAGTCTTGGCTTTGTGGAAATTTGTCATCCAGCAAAGAAGTGCTTAAAGTTTCCAAATAAAGCCAGTTTCCAGTTATTTCGTAATGTGAGGCTCTTTCAGGGCCCAGTCTCGCAAAGGTGATTACAGATAGTTGCACTGATTTGAGTTAATACTACTCCCATGCTTTTACAAGATTGGGTTTCCCATGTGTATTTAGCTGAAAGTTGCAGGGGCGTGACGCACCAGATGCTTGTTACCAGGCTTAGTTGTATCTAATCAATAGATCCCAGTTTGATTATGTTTCTTCAGGATCACGTCCTAAACTTACTTCATATATGTTTATAAAGGAAAAAACGGAAAAAGTCCTGGATAGGTTATGTTGCATAAATTTTGGTTCTAGAAACTAGTTTTGTGTTTTGCTTACTTAAGCAGCGTATCCACATTTCTTACTTTTTAAAAAAAAGGTGATGCTCATGATAGGCTGCAACTAGAATATTGACAGTAATATTTTTTACATGCAGATCAGTATTTGGTACCGCTGAGCTTAACTATACCAGGTGCCCTATGACAATAAATAAAAATTGCAGTGTCAGAATGCATACTAAAAAGAGCTTGTCAGACTTAACATTTGCCAGAATTTAATGTTCTTTCTATCCATACTTTCCTTTGTCATTCAGTTTGATTGGATTTAGTTAAATAAGAAAGTAGGCAGATGGAATATTGTGTCATGTCATTTTATAATAATGTGCAAATTGCTGACAAAAAAGTGTTGTTGAAAGAGCTATAGCATTAGTGAAGGATTTTTTTTTTATTCTATGCTAATAAATTAAAATAAAATGAAAGCATATGCTGAACTCTGTTGACTCATCTACAGAGGACAGGGGGGGGAAAAACGCCCAGTATTTGACTTGAAATAACTTTGTTGTGTTGTATTGTTCTAATTAAGTTCTCTGAGTGAATTAGTGCATTTTGGAGGAAAAAATTATCTGGGAGGTGGACGAATAAAATAGGGTCTGCAGGAAGAGGAATGTTGGGGTGGAAAAAGATCTGGTGTTTGCTTCCCCAAAACAGACCCTCAGCTTGTGTAAACTCCCTTATAACTCCACTGATGTCAGTGGAGCTATGAGGTTAACACCACTGAAGGCACCCCTGTAGGTTCTTCTCATTTTATGTGTTGGGAAGTTAGGGGTTCCTCAGGCCCTGCAATACAAACCTACAGACACTGAGGGACTGTGACACTTCATCTCCCTGTCTATCTTCTGGCCCCCAGTAGTTTGTGCCCGAAAGCTTGCAATTAAAGATTTTTTTTGCAAAAATCGTGTTGGTCTGATAAAAGATATCATCTCTACCATGAGCCCAGATTGCTTTTTCCTCTAGAGCAATACAGCTGCCCCCAGTAGTGCACTTGGCAATTACCAGCTCCAGCAGCTGCTTCTCCCAAACTCTCTCCCTCTCGCTAGAGAGTCGTTTTACTGTCTTGGGCTTTTTGGATTATAGAATACTAGACAAACCTAATGAGCTTTCCCCACCTGTTTCAGCGAGTCCAGCTCTGCACAGTTGTGGTAGAAGGGCTTCCATGGAGTTGAGGAGAAAATAAGAGCAGGCTGCAGAGACAAATTTCTTCCTATTTGGCCCAGGCTCCCCTACATACATGAGCATATGAGGAATAATGGGGAACCCAAGGACTTCAGATCACCCCTTTTTGAGGCCCTCTTCACAGAGAACTGCTCTCTTAATTGTTTCTTAAGTTTGTGCAGTTTAATGAGGCCCTAACTGTAATTGTAATGTATCTGTCATGTATTTTTGCTCTTATTTATTCAACATCATCCTCTAATGTAATGTGTTCTGCTGCTGCTGATCCTGATTAAGCAGCAGATTATTCTTAGATGCTAATAATTCCTTTTAGGCATGTAATGTCTCAAGGTGTAATCAAGAGGCCATATAAAATAGCTAAGGTCAGTCTGAATAGATTGATTATTTCATTTTTTTATTAAACAAGGTACATCACGCATTCAGTGAGTCAGAACCACTGAAATAGCAGCAGATCTTGCATGGTGGATTCTCAAGAGTCTCATTTATTCAAGAAAGCTTGTAGTAAATACTAACCTCATTTTTATTAATTATAACAATGTTATAATTTAACTTTTACATATACAAGCAGGTAACTTAAATATGTAGTTTAATTGTTCAGCAAGTGGACTTTTCATTGATAAAATAGAAGTGCCTGTGAAAAAGGCAAAATGTAGCTGTTTCTCTTCCAGAACATATTCTGGGCTGAAATACTTCTAATGCTAACTATTTCTATTGATTTTTTTTTTTTTTTCCTCCAACATGGCAATCTTTTAAAAAGGTGTGGAAAAAATTGAGTTCCCTGAAATGTTTTAAGGAACTAAATTGGACCATGTCAGAATGATGGTGCTGTTTTTAAGTGAAAGTCTGTGAAACTTTGTTAGCTTTCTGTAAAAAATAAATAAATAAATAAATAAAAATACAGCACTGACATGAATTAAAAGTTAAATGCAAAACACTCTAATGTCAAGGTTTTCAAATTTCATTGCATATATTTAGCACAGATCTGCACTGTACCAATACAGTGCAAAATTGCCTCTATGTTATGAAAAGGTTGAGAGAATATATGGTCTGTCTTCTAGCTAGGGAAGCTATTACTGTGCGTTTAATTTGATTTTTAACAGCTCTGACTAAATACATTGTTATTTTGCTATGCTTAACTGCTATCTTCACCCATAACTGGAGGCAGAGTATCAATATGGGCATCTGTGAATGTATTTACTTAGGACAGAAAACTTAAGACCATGTCATTTAGAATTGTCTGTCAGTTTCACAAAAGCCTGGGATCTATTAATTATCCAGTTATGGAGGGTGATCATAATTTCCTTCCAGTTCTGTACTGCATAATTAGACAATCATGGTTGTTAGTATGCCATCCCCTCCTCCCCTAAATAATGCATAGAAGGATATGCCTAAGGCAGCTGAATCTCTTGCTGCACACTGAAGTGAGGTTTAGAATTTTGGAAAAACTCGCAATTAAAAAAGAAAAGGTATCTTGGTACAAGAAATCTCTGGCTTGAAGATGTTTACTAAAATTGGCAAACCCCAAAGGAATTGCATCCCCTGCTGATGCACTTGACTGAAATCTTGCAAATAGGAAAGTAAAAACTAATGGAGAAGAAGAAAAGAATCTAGTGGTTAAAGGAAAATTGCAGTTTAATATTAAGGATATATTTTGTTCATTCGATCCTATATTGCTAATAAAAAGTATCTTAAGTAAAGTATAAAAGAATAATTAAAACAGAAAATAGGTCACCTTGACAGCTGGATGTAGTTTATGGCACATGGAATGCAGCTTCTCCCTAGGAAAGCATCGCCTACGAATGTTGAAGTTTCTGCTCTCTTGTATTACTGTGTGGTGGATTGCATACCTGGGTCTGTTTTAGTGAGATGAGAAGTATAATACAAAACCTCTGTGCCAAGGGAGAGATGATTCCAATGCCATTCAGGGCAAAAGGGAGATAATGAAACATTACAGGCAACTTCAAATATGTGATTTTTTTTTTTTTTTTTTTTTTTTAATAAAAAGGAATGTAATAGTAAACTATTTAGCTAAGGCTATGTAAGTAATCATTATCATAGTCATCTCCAAAACAAGTATAGCATGGGGGAAAAATAAAAAATTAATCATTATTGTTTGGCAACTGTGGTAAGTGATGCTGTGCTCTAGTGTAAAGTATATTTTTGCATTATTCATTCTTGAGTTACTTCTGCAACAACTGTAGGTCAGTGCTCCATTTGAAAGGCAGTGAAGGGCATTGTTTGATCTGCTTTACCATATGTCACTTGAATGACAGATACTTAAGTTGAAATAGGAACATAGATTTTTTTTGTGGGTTTTTTGAGGGTGGGTGGATAACATCATGTTGGAATATGCACTCCATCCTCTTTTCAAAGGTACTTGTAATAACTGCATCACTCCCCATTATGACCATCCTCATTTTATGCAACACCTCAACATTAATCTCTCAGTACCTGGTTATGATTGCTATGAGGGTGGAGTGCATTGCATCAAATCACCTTTCATTTGTGTGTTGATGTGGCATTTATATTAAGTAGGAGTAATTTTTTTTCTGATTTTTTTTTTCTTGTGTCACCAGTGCACCTATTCCATTCTTCCATCGCTGTGCTCCTGTGAACATTTCCTGCTATGCCAAGTTTGCAGAGGCCCTGATCACCTTTGTCAGTGACAGTAGTGTCTTACACAGGCTGATTAGTGGAGTTATGACCAGCAAAGAGATTATAATGGGACTTTGCTTGTTATCACTAGGTAATTGTTTTTCTCATTATTAGATATTTCATAGTACTGCATTTAGGAGACTGTTAACATCCTTTAGCCACAATATGAGCATAAAACACATCCAATAACAAGCCCTCAGAAAACTGTTTTTTTTAATGTTTTGGGTTTTTTTTACTCAACAGCTGAATAACTGTTTCAAAAGTAGTACATGAAGTTGTGGTACACTCCCCTTATTTGATGTGGAGAGCACTGGGGTTTGGAACAACCTTCAGTGTGCTATTGCCACAGTATTTAAGTACACCACAGTGGGGGTAGGGTCCTGTTTTATAGTGTCCCCTCCCTCTGTAATCCATTCTTTGTCTAACCCTCTCTTAAAAAACCCTATGAAAAAAGAGAGAGTTTGACAGAGTGAGCAGGCAGTACATGGTCTTATAGCTTCATAAACTTGGGATTTAGGTTTTTTCAATGTGCTTTGTTTAGCTTGCTAGGCTGTGTGTGGGGATTTTCAAAGGAGTCTTAGGCAGTGAGGTGCCCAGTTCATATTGGTTTAGCTTGGAGATAAGTACAAAAATCCCTTAGTCTCCTTTGAAAATCCCAGCCTTGACTGAGTAGTAGGGAATCTCCAGTGACATATCTGCACTTTTATATATGTACTGCTAGGAAATTTCCAATTCTTACCCCTTCTTTCTCATTCATGACACTAATATTGCACCAAAGTGAAGTGATATTTTAAACAATCCCTGTACATTAATATTAAATGGTCTGCAACCAAATATATTGCATTCTTGATCAGCTGATTTTTATAGTGTTGCACCCTTTATCTAAAAAGAAATATCTTACTGTTTGCCATCTGTCCAAACAGTGTGTGGTTAGAAAAAAAAGTACAGTTCTGACATTATGACTGACTACAGGGTGCCACAAAGGCTTTACCAGCAAGAAAGAACTGTCTCTAGCCAGTATGTCTCTACAGGCAAGAAAGAGAGAATACCAGATGTCAATTTAAAAAAAACCCACAAAATCACTTCTTAGCATTAACTGCAAAGAAACTCACTGAACTGGTTGTTTCATTGTACTGAGTGGTAAAATTGAGAGAGTTTTTTGTTTTGTTTTGTTTTGTTTTAAAGTTGGCTATATTAGCAGAGCTTTTGTTAGAGTACCAGATTTTGTTTTATAGATATACTGCAGAATTTTACATAAAATTACTTTGACCACTTTTAAGTTAAATAAGGATGGAAATATGATTGCTTTAGTATCTTTTTATTCTCTAATAATTTAAAAAAAAATAAAATGAAAGTGTTAGAATGTTTAATTCGTGAAGCAGACCCCAATGACTTTCACTTAGAGATGTCATCTGTACACATACATGTTAATCCATAAAATTTAAGGAGGACTTTTTAGCAGGCTGTGCCCACAGGGTATACAACTGTATCAGTAAAACTCACTAAAGTACCTCCTTTGAAAGCAAATATAGCACAACATAGTAATTTTTTCCTTGTCGCTAACATGACATATTAATACACATACTTGTCATAAAGCTGCACTTGTTTGGCATGTGTGTTTGCATGCGTATTCTGCTCCACTGTTGAGGAGTTGTACAATGATTTCCCAACTCGTTATGTTAAACTCACAGTCTTGTCATGTCCTGTTCTCTCCCTATGTGTGACTACATCTATGTGTGTGTATGCATTATGTTTTGTATGTAATGCACTGTTGTAAAAGCGCACATGCTCTTTTTTATTTAATTGGCAAGTGGAAAAAACAGGAGTGTAGAAACTAGCTGATGTATAGCTTTGTAATGAGTTAGTAAAGTTTGGACATAAATATTTCCTTTAAAAATACATTGGAGTGCAGTTAGTTGAACTTTTTACTTCTTCCCCAGGAAAAGCTTGTTTTCATGGGTCTTCCTGTTTGAAATAATTACTTTGCTTTTTCTTTTCCCTTCAGTGCTGTCCATGATTTTGATGGTCATAATCAGGTACATTTCAAGAGTACTTGTTTGGATCTTAACAATTCTTGTCATTCTGGGATCACTTGGTAAGTATTGTTGGTATCCTTGTTTGTGAGAACCAAGTTCTAGTAGAGTGGATGAATTGTGATGTGACGGCCATAATTTTACATAGCACCTGTATATTTCATGATGTAGCAAATTTAGAAGAATTTCAGTATATCAGTAAAAATATCTTCAAAATACTTAGCTCTTGTGATTATTGGTGATGGATGTGATCAGAAAGGAGACAGTAAAACTAGATTCTTGGGTTGTATGCTATTCAGAAATTTCATAACTGATGATTTTTGAAAGAACAAAATAATCTGTTCCACTCTCACCTATTCTTTCTATACTGAGAAGTCATGCAGTGTATGCACACCAAATAAAGTGTCATGTGTGAAACGTACAGTTCGGTTTGTATTAGATGGTTGTTTTCAAGTCGATAAGAGTTGTGCTGGTGGCTTTCCTGGGTTCAGAATTTCACCGTGGAAGCTGATTTTGATGTGTCACTTCCCTCTCTTCACCATGTCTTCATTTTGGTCTTTCATTTTTTAGTTTTGTTTTCTATCTCAAGTGAGCCATTCTAGCTCCTTCTCTGTCAGTACTGCATTTCCAATTTCCAAATCGGTTCTTCTTGAGGTAGAGGCACATCTGCAGTTGAGCTAAGGTATTATTTCTGGCATTGTGGATTTACTCCCTTTCTCTGCTGTCAGTTGTTCCCTTTCCTCTTTCCTTGGTGTCAATTGTCTCTTGAGAGGTGTTTGCCCTTTCACTTACTGCTATTTCTTTATTCCTCTTGTGTCTCTTTAAGCCTCCTTCACTCAATTCTTACACCTGCTTTCTTCCTAATTCCCCGCCCCCCATCACACCACAAAATCTCTCCCTACTGTCCTTCCCTTCTCCCTTCTTTTCTCTAGTCCTGCAGATGGCAGCAGTATCTGGTTTTGCCAGACCTCACACATTCAGTGCCCTCCTCTGTTCTTCCTAAACCACATGAAATAGAGTACTGATCCAAGGCACCATAAGGACCTAAATAGACTTAGCAGGGGCTTGCACAGGCCAGGAAAAGTTCTTATGCAACTAGGAGGCAGATTGGAAGCCCAACACCACTCCAGCCTCCAAAATGTTTCCTCATGAAGTAACTTCAGTGCACATGGGTATTTTCTATCAAGCTGGACTCAGAATAAAAACTGGATTTATCTTGATTTCAGTTTTTGTGTGTGCACATCACATATCCTGTTGTCCCTTTTTGCTTTGAAATATAGGTGGCACAGGCGTACTCTGGTGGCTGTATGCTCAGCAAAAAACATCCATCAGTGAAACCCTCACAGCTGATGAGCTTCAAATAGCTAAAGACAATCTTCAGGCTCTCCTGGTCTATGCCATTTCAGCTACGGTCTTCACAGTAAGTGCTTTGTTAACAACTAAAGTGTACAGAGTATTGCCTCTTGCTATTATTTTTCAGATGCCTTGCATTATGTGCATGAAGCATGAAAAATACCTCTGAATCAACATCCTTTTCTGTTGCATGCTTTCTACCAATACGCTCTTCTGGAAGACCTATTTTTTTTTTTGGTGTCAGGAGGGAGAGAGTATTGTAGGGCCTGAACCTGCAGCTGCTCGGGATCATTCTCAGAGGCCGAATAGGACTTCCAAGCATAGAGCAGCTGCCATATGGGACCCTGAATCTGTATGTTTACTTTCATTTGGAAGATTTTCACTAAAGGAACTTAATGGAGATGATACTTCTTTGCTTGAGTTTAGTTGATTAGAATTCTTCAGGGCCTGCATGCACCGTAACTATACCTGCTTAAAGACTCTTATTTACTGTTTATTTCATGAAATTGTTTGCTGCTCTGTTCCCATCCACATCCCTCTAGTAACATCACAATCATTTGATATTGATGTTTTTGATATTGAGCTCACCTCATCTCAAAATGCTGCACAAATATATGGTTAAAATTACAGTCCTAACAAGTCTAGTGGGAAATACCTGTGCAGCTGTTGAACGCAGCATATGCGCCACAACATGGTATCGGTTGTTAATAAACTTACCTCAGAAGTCCATTAGGTTCAATATAAAAAGATAGGGTAAATGGTGCCATTAGTTACATTTTTGTGATTTTTGTCTGGGATTGCATGGTTTAATTGAACAGAGTTTGGTTTGGAGTTTTGTTCAATTTGAAAAGCAGTTAAAAGGTCAATAATTTTTAAACATACGATCTGTATTGTACTTAATTTACCTCCTAATTTGAATGATAAAAGATTTTAAATTTTGGTCTCATTGTCTGGTAGTTAGGATGGCAAATGATGCTGTGCTAGAAGTTGATTGTTTTCTGTTTGAGGATCCTGCATCAGTCACTAGCAGATGGGCTATTTTTTTGTCACCTGACATGTCAAATAGAAACTTCTTTCCCCCAGGTTATCCTGTTCTTGATAATGATAGTCATGCGCAAGCGAGTAGCTCTCACCATTGCCTTGTTCCACGTGGCTGGCAAGGTCTTCATCCACCTGCCGCTGCTAGTCTTCCAGCCATTCTGGACTTTCCTTGCGCTCATCCTGTTTTGGGCCTACTGGATCATGGTCCTGCTGTTCCTTGGCACTACAGGTATGTGAACATTGCTTGTTTCAAGTAGACTTTACTATCTTCTTGGAGGGCTTCAGGTATTAGTAGTTAAAATTGGGGGGCAAACCTACAAGAAGAATCTTGGTGAGCTCCTATGTGATTGTGCTCCCTGCTGTAGTGACTTCAGTGCTTTTACTGGGTACTGTAATCCTGATGGATATCATAAGTGTGTCTGTGTGCCTAAATTGATCCTAGGGGTGAAGGCATTGCTTCATGACCTATGTGGGGCCTTCTGCCATTATTTTACCCCTTTGATGCAAGAAGGGCTAGCAAACAGGAAACAGGGCAAGCAGTTTGTAGGCAGCTCGCTGGTCAGTTTGCAGGCCAGTTGCATGTCCCCGTCCCTCCCTTTGAGGCGAGAGCCTTTCAGCTTGGTGTGAGGAAGGAGGGAAAAAGGAACGCATTGGGGCCAAGCAACAGTAAACAGGCCAGCTTTCAGGTGAGTTTGCTAAGAAAGGTGGGCTTAGAAGAAGGGCAGTAAGAGAGAGGAGGCAGATTAAGAGACTCAGGGAAATGGCTGGAGGCTGTTGGAGTGCCAGAACCACAGCCACTACTTCTTCTTGCACCTGTGAGGTTTCTATCCAGGCAGAACCATGCATCATCAAGGCTTCCACTGAGGTCCAGGTTTGGCACTATGGGGACTGCGGCTTGCAGGTTCCTTCCAGTGATAGCTATGTTGGCGGGGTGCCTGTGATGTGAGCGGTGCCTCCTGGTGGTATCTCTCAGGAAACAGGCAAGAGAGCTACAGGAAGAGGTGATGAGGCTCCGGAGCATCCTCCACCATGAGTTCATCGATTCGATGCTGGAAGAGACCTCTGGGACTGTGGGGGAAGAACTGCCAGAGGTAACGCTAGAGAAAGGAGAGGACATGGACTCCCAGGAAGGTGGAAGCTGGAAGCTTGTGACCTCTGGCAGCAAGCAGAAATCTTCATCTCCACCTGCAGCAGTTTGCCTGGAGAATAGATATGGAGCCCTAGAAACAGAGGTTGAGGAGCATGTTCCATTAATGGAGGAGGACAGGCCAGGCCTCCCCAGGGTGGGAAGGATTGAGATGACTGCCACCAAGAAGAAGTGGCAGGTGGTGGTGGTTGGAGACTCCTTTCTGCAGGGTACAGAGGGATCCACCTGCCGACCTGACCTGTTGTCTCGGGAAGTCTGTTGCTTGCCCAGATCCAAGGTGTCACGGAGGGATTACTGAGACTCACCCAGCCCTCTGACTACTACCCCATGCTGCTTATCCATGTGGGCACCAATGATACTGCCATGGGAGATTCTGAGCAGATCAAAAGTGACTACAGGGCTCTGGGTGCCAGTGTGAAGGGGACAGGGTCTTGGGTGGTGTTCTCTTTGATCCTTCCAGTCAAGGGAAAGGGACCGAGTAGGATCGGGGTGCATCCTGCAGATCAATGCCTGGCCGCACAGGTGGAGTTGCCAGCAGGGCTTTGGCTTCTTTGACCACAGGGTAATGTTCCAAGAATAAGGATTACTAGGAAGAGAGACAATCCACCTGATGGAGAGGGAAGAGCATCTTTGCAGAAAGGCTCGCTGACCTAGTGAGAAGGGCTTTAAACTAGGTTCACCAGGGAATGGAGTCCAAAGCCCTGAGGTTAATGGGGAAGTCGGTGACCTGGAGCAAGTAGAAAGGGGCAACAGGGGAGAGGTGTTCTCATTCTTCCTGAAAAATTGGGGCAATAAACCAGTCACCTCAGGTGTCTGTACACGAATGCATGGAGTCTGGGAAGCAAGCAGGAAGAATTGGAAGTCCTCACACAGTCAAGGAACTATGATGTGATTGGAATAACAGAGACTTGGTGGTAGCTCGCATGACTGGAACACTGTCATGGATGGGGAAAAACCGGTCAGGAAGGAAAGGCAGGGGAGGGAAGAAGAGGAGGAGGAGTTGCACTTTATGTAAAAGAGCCATATGAATGCTCAGAGCTCCAGTATGAAACTGGGGGTAGACTTCTTGAGCATCTCTGGGTTAGGGTCAGAGAAGAGCGCAACAAGGGTGATGTCTCCCATAACATTCTTGCAGGCAAGCTAAGGAAGTACAGGCTGGATGAATGGACTGTAAGGTGGATAGAAAACTGACTGGAGCATCGGGCTCAGAGGGTAGTAATCAATGGCTTAATGTGTAGTTGTTAGTCGGTATCAGGTACATTGCCCCATGGGTCAGTCCTGGGGCCAGTTTTGTTCAATATCTTCATCAACAACCTGGAAGATGGCATGGAGCGCACCCTCAGCAAGTTTGTAGATGACAACAAGCTGAGGGGAGTAGTAAATACGCTTGTAGGGCTAGGATTCAGAGAGACAAATTAGAGGATTGGGCCAAAAAAAATCTCATGCAGTTCAACAAGGACGAGTGCAAAGTCCTGCACTTAGGACAAAACAATCCCATGCACCAGTACAGGCTGGGGGCCTACTGGCTAAGTAGCAGCTCTGCAGAAAAGGACCTGGGGGTTACAGTGGGCAATAAGCTGAATATAGCCAACACTGTGCCCTTGTTGCCAAGATGACAAACAGCATACTGGACTGCATTGGCAGGAGTGTTGCCAGAAGCTCAAGGGAAGTGATTATTCGCATCTATTCAGCACTGGTGAGGCCACATCTGGAGTACTGTGTCCGGTTTTGGGCACCTAGCAGATGATGGTAGTGAACTGACCCCTTGCTTTGTAGCACTCAAGGATTCCTCTCCTCCCCATGCCAGGAGAATACTCAGCTGTCACTTCAGTGCAGCTTCAAGACCGGACTGAATTTCCTTTTGGTTATGCTTATGTCCTTGTATTCTTATGTTATTGGTTGCCTCATGGGTTTCCAGACTTGTAGAACACCAGAAAAGCACATCAAGGAATCATTTAAGTTTAAAATTAAAACAGGCAGGGAATGGAGAATAGCATTATGTTTTTATATTAGGTTATTTGGACTTTCTCATAAACTAGCCTTTTAAATGATGTGCAGATTTTAGAGAGGGGATGATTGGAAATATTCCAAATTTGGCCTTTCATTCTCTTATTACTTTATCATTGTCTTGGGAAGGACCTGAGATCAGCATCAATGCAAGTGCTGCTTTCCCTTTCTCTTGGCGCACATTTGCTGTTTGGAACCTATTTGTATTCAGCTTTGCTGCAGTTGTTACCAGCAAACAGTTTCTTGCAGGGCCCGATGTACCATCAGCAGACTGACAAAGTGCAGCCAAATGCACAGTGTAAACAAACAAGCAGTGGAGAGATGCATTATTCCTGTGATTCCTTTCTGTTACAATGATCCTGGGGTTAGGTATAAAAATAGTATGCATATGCGAATGTCATCTTCAGGCTGATGATATTCTTTTTAAGATTTCTGCAGAAATCTTAAAGTAGCTTCTCTGCATAGACTGTATTCCTTCAGATATATAGGGTGCACTGTTTAGAATCTTATTTTTTTTTTCCAAGTGGCCTTCATATCAAATTCAAGTAAATGCAGAAGCCCTGTATGTACCAAATAAATTGTATTCTTGTAAGTGTGTCTTCATTTGATTTTTCATTTTTTTGGAAATTGTGAGTTTGAAAATTTGGGTTCATCCTATATTTGAAGGATTTTGGTATGCTGAATGATATGGTGTCTGTTTAAGAAGAAAAAAAGACTTGAAAATACTGCATGCAGTATATAGGAATACAGCAAAATACATGGAAATAATATGTGTATGCAGTGTGAGCTCTTCTTTTACTCTAGGCCCATAACTTTGTAGTTCTTGATTTATTTATTTTTATATACTGTCTGTGACCTTTAGCTTTACTATCACATTACAATCTTTCCATTTAATTTCCATTTTTTTAATTTTAGAGCAGGGGTTGGCAGCTTACAGTCTGTGGGCTGAAAGTGGTCCATGGAGTCATTGGATCTGACCCATGCACCCAAAGGGGCTTTGGCAGCAGGGTTTTTTTTTCTGTGCCCCAGCCAGGCAGCTGAGGGTTTAGCAGCAGGGGTTTTCATTCGTGTCAGGCCACTGCTGGGCAGTGGCTAAGTGGCAGCAAGAAGCAGAAGCAGCCGGGTCCTAATGCTAGCCCATCATGACATGAGCTAGATCATTCCTGTTTGCTGTCCCAAAAAGGTTACTGGCTGCTGTTTTAGAGGAAAAGGTTAAACAGTCCATCAAAGCTGATCTAAAATTGAAAGCAACATACGCGTGCTAGTCAGTACATCAATGGATAACTGCAGGGTTAGGAAAGCACATGTGCATCACAGAGCATCTTCCCAAAAAGCAGTTGCACTGTCACCCATTTTCCATTGTATCGTGTCTCAGATATTCAGATAGTATTTTTGGTCTTGTCATGGAGATGCTTCTCAATATTGAGAACTTTTTACTCACCAATTCTCAAGCAAGAGGTCAGGTCCTGCAAATTACTGAGGTGCCAAGGTGCATGTGACCTCCACAAACTCACTAGGGGTTGATATAGGGAAACGTTCCTGCCTGAATTGAGCAGCTTTTAGGAATTGGACCTAAAAATTCAACTCCTTTCAGTTGCTTCTGTACAAAAAATATGGCAATAACTTTTTAACTAGAAAATTTATATTTTATTTGTTCAATAAAGGAAATAAATATTTCAAAAATTTACAAGGATTTGGAAATGGGGGGTGTTAAAGAAACTTGTGAAATTTGAAATGCAGCATCAACTGTTGTATAAATGATAACTATTATAACACCTTTCAAATCACACAACTATTTTGCTATACCTCTAGGAAATATTTTGGATCCATGTTCTGGATTTTTTTAACTGGGACAAAGCTAATAGAATTCACATCTTCCCAGGTTTTGCTATTTTACCATTCTCATTTTAATTTTTAATTGTTATGAAAAATGCTGCATGCTACATTAAGAACCATTAAGTTGGTATTTTTCTTTCATGTGAAAATAGAGTAGGTTCCAGTTCTGTCAGTTGATATCTGTGGGTGAATTCCTGTACTTACATGAATCCAATTGCAGGATGAGGCCAAAGTCTGTATTTTACTAATGGACACTGGGGCCATTTTAATTGACTTTGCAGCCTGATTCTGCATTTATTTAATGTCATGTACTAATTAGTCCTATCAAGGTCAGTCGGACAAAGTGTTTTGTACTAAAACAAAGCATATTTAAACCCATACTCCCTGCCTCCAGAACACACTGCTGCTGGTGTTGTATGCAAGGCCAGGGTGCCCTCGGTCAGTGGGGTAGAGCTTCAGTCTTGTTGCACATTCATCAAGGAAATGCACGTCTGTATGAAGGGGGTGTTTTTTTGCAGTGATAGGGCTGTAACTCCTAGAGCCCAAAATGTGTAAAATTTTAAAAAATGAGCGAAAAGAAACCTACTTTTTTTTAAATAATCAACTTTTCCACTAGAAAAAAATATTTAGACAGTGCTGCCCGTTTCCAAGAAAACGTGTATTTCTTTCATACAAGTATCAAACCAATTGTAAGAGGTTAAAAAATACAGTGCTATGTGAAAACACTAATGGCTTTCAAGTTGAATTTATGTTATGTACCTGTTATGTCCTCACCTTCTGTATTCCTGAATCTTTCCAGCTGTTTGCATCACTTTGTGATAGGTGGGATGAAACTCTTCAGTGAGTGCTAATGCTTTTTGAAATAGAGCATTGCCTAGGGAGCATCTGACACACGATGTCAGTCAGTGTATGCGAAAATACTGTTCACATTAGACAAGCCTGTGGAATTCAAAATGCATGAAATTTTACAGCAAAAATCTCCAAATTCTGCTCTTAGTGGGCTTTGTTTTCTAGCAAATAAATTTAATCTGCAAATAGAGACCATATATGTATAGATACCTGAATCATTAAGAAACAAAACTGATCATTAATGTTGGGTGTTTAATCCTAATTTAAATAAAAATACCAAAGAAGGATTAAAAACTCTTCTTTGTGGTGACAGAAAATTCAGAATGACTCGGCTTTCCTGCAGTTGCATTTCAGTAAAGGAGACTGTTTCAGATTTTTGCTATTTTGGAGGATATTGTGTGCTCAGGAGAACTTTTAAATCTATCCTTTTGCACATTTATTAATATGGCTGATCCAAAAGCATTGTTTCCAGTATTAAGTGCCCTGCTAAATTTAACATAGTCCTTTTTTAGTAGGGGGATGTTTAGGTCCATCAATTATAGTGCACAGTTAGAAGTATAATAAGCATTTTCATCTCTCTTAGTTGATATTGTAAATACTTTATTCCTTCTGGCCATGGTTTGTTCCTAGGTAGCCCTGTCTCCAATGAACAAGGATTTGTGGAGTTCCGGGTTTCGGGCCCTCTGAGATACATGTGGTGGTACCATGTAGTGGGGCTGATCTGGATCAGCGAGTTCATCCTTGCCTGTCAACAAATGACTGTGGCAGGGGCTGTTGTGACGTACTATTTTACAAGGTAAGAATTTTCCAGGCAGTTTTATTTTGAGAGATGTAGTAGCTGAATCGTCAGAAATAACTGGGGACAGAATTTGTGGTGAAATGAGCAGATGTGTTCTGTCTAGAAACTGAAAAGTAATCAGTGCTCTTAAAATTTTCCAGCAGCTCCTATAATAGGTAGGGACCCACCAAAATTGTGATTTTGAGAATTTCACAAAAATTGGGCAATGCCTACAAAATCCGTGGGGAAACAAAAACTTACTGAAAATAAAATGCTGGCTCCCCAGAGGCAACCAGCAGTCTTCGTGGCACTGTGGCCTGACTGCACAGCCCACTGCGGAGAGATGGGGAGGGGGGCTGGCAGCACGAAGGGGAGCCACAGATGGCTGCCACTCCCTTGCTGCTGATTGGCTGAGAGGGCTGCCTGCCATGCGGCGCTGCCCCCCTCCATTAATTGGCAGTGATTAATTGGGGCTGCATGATGGACAGCCCTTGCAACCAATCAGCAGTGAGGGGTGGGGCCACCAGGGTCTCTTGGTCAATCAGAGGTGTGGGAGGGGGCCCCCGTGATCAGCCTGTGAAAATGGCAGCTGGCCCTGCAGTCTCCCTGCAAAATCAGCTGGCTGCCTCCCTGAGTTGGGTAGACCCTTAATAGATAGTTGAGCTGGTTATGTGTTGTATTAAAGATGTTTTTTAGCTACTGCACTTTTGTTTGCCTCCTGTGTCATCCTGATAAAGGCATGAAAAAGTGTTTAAAAAAAAAAAAAAAGTGTGTCCTGATAGTCACCTTTTTAATATTAGAGTTGATGAACTCTATACAAGTTAAAAATAATTGGTACTGATTGGCTTTGGTCATTTAATTGAAAAATGTCCTTTTTAATTATTTACACTTACTTCATCATTCATTTTATCATCTCAAGATTACCAGAAGTCCCAAAAGAGCCATCATTGTCATATAAATTCAGGCAAGATTATATGCCAGCATTAAAGTGATGGAAAATATATTTATTAAATAAATCCCTATGTGCTGTCACCATGCAGGTGTCCTAATCTGTAAATCATGGTAATGGCCACAGCTCTCATAGATATTAGAGGGAGATGCATCTCGTATTGTTAGGAAAATAAAGATTAAATTACGTTGTCAAACCTGCCCTCCCCACCCTCTCCAAGTACTCAAAATGCATCTGAGCTTTATGCCTTTTTAGTGTTTGAGGCTTTATGCTGTGCACTTGACATATTTTTAAGCTTTCTTCTGCTACTGTGAGACACAAAAATTTACATTTAAAAGAAGCTGGAAGCCAAGGTTTTTCTGTAATCACAGGACTCTAGGAGGCAAGGATTTAGGATGACATTCATTATTACATGCTCAATATTCATTAGCATGTGCAGTACTGAAATGGTACCTGTTGTTGTTGGTAACTTAGTAATATTGATTAAAGAAATAAATGCTGATGCTAGTGTTCTTAACTCTCATCTTGTTCTCTTTTATATAAAAATACATTTTTAAACTGAAATATGAAACCTAATAGTTCACAGTATATTGGTTACAGAAATCTGCATGCTGACAATTTGATGATTCATTTTAACTTTTCATTCCAAAGGGTCTCAGAGTAATTTGCAAACTACTGTGGAAAAGGCAGCTGTCCCTAAAGCTGAAGGTAGTTGGAATAAGGGAGGAAAAATGTGATTTAATTTAAACCCTACTCCAGTTAAAAGTGCACGGATGTAGTAGTGTCAGTGTTCATACAGATAAGACAGGGCTTCACTTTAAAAAGTGTTTACAATTAAAGATATCTTACATAAACACCTCCAGTGATATCCAGTAACCAGTCTATCCCTTCGGTGCTGTTTTTAGGGCCTGTTTCAGAAATGTGCGGGTTTTAAAAGTCTGTGTACAGATATTTTTTTAAAGGATTCAGTTCAAATAATGAATGTTAAAATTGGTTCATCTTTGTAATTGAAACTGTTATATGGATTCCATTTGGCTCCTTTTCTACGCTAATCTGCTAAAAAACATCAAAAGGCTAGGATTAATTTATTGTGGAGATAGAAAGTCTGTCATTTTACTAATGACAGAGTCCTCCAGGATGGCATTGAAGTACATTTGTGAAACCATTAGAAGAAGTTTCAGTGATGTAATCTAGTAAATAATAAAATCAGACTGATAAATGAGCTAGGAAATACAGAATTGGGAGGAATAATCTTGCACACAAATGGATATGGACTAGATGATTTAGCAGGTCTTTTGCATCTCTCCATCTGTGAATATGTGCTCTACATTACCTGAAGGTAAATGATTTTGCTCTTAACTGTTCCCTATCTATCATCCCTTACTGGGGATTTTATTTTAAGTTACTAAGTATCTGTTTCTCTCTATTACTTTTCTTCCTTCCATTTTAAAGTATGGTTCTACTCTGAAAAGTGACTGGTTAAAAATGAAACAAAAAAGGAAGATTTTTACCCTTAGCATCAACTCTGCACCCTCACAATGGACTTTTTGCATGCCAAGTAATATTACCTGTTAGGAAGTGTTGCAGACTAAATTATGCCCTCAGTTACACCTGTGCACATAGAAGAGGATGTTGATTTGTACCGCTATAAGTGATCAGAAGTAGAAAAATGATTCTCTTGGTGAAACACAAGGAGGGAGACCAGTAGACATGATATACCTTGACTTAACAAGGCTTCTGTTATGGTCTCCCACAACATCCTTGCAAGCAAGCTAGGGAAGTACAGGTTGGATGAATGATCTCTTAAAGTGGATAGAAAACTGGCTGGATCATCTGCTCAGAGGGTAGTGGCCAATGGCTCTATGTAGTTGGCAGCTGGTATCAAGTGGAGTATGCTATGGGTCAGTTCTGGGGCTGATTTTGTTCAATATTTTCATCAGTGATCTGGAAAATGAGGTGGAGTGCACCTTCAGCAAGTGTACAGATGACATCAAGCTGAGGGGAGTAGTGGATACACTGGTGGGTAGGGCTAGGATTCAGAGAGACCTCAACAAAATGGAGGGTTGGACCAAAAGAAATCTTACAAGATTCAATAAGGATAAGTGCAAAATCCTGCACTTAGGACAGAACAATCCCATGCACAGGCTGGGGACTGAATGGCCAAGCAGCAGTTCTGCAGAAAAGGGCCTAGGGATTACAGTAAGCTGAATACGAGCCAACAGTGTGCCCTTGTTGCAAAGAAGGCCAATGGCATGCTGAATGGCATTAGTAGGAGTGTTGCCAGCAAATCAAGGGAAGTGATTCTTCTTCTCTATTCAGGACTGATGAGGCCACGTCTGGAGTATTGTCCAGATTTGGGGCCCCCACTACAGAAAGGGCAGATTGGAGAGAGTCCAGTGTAAGATAGTGAAAATGGTTTGGACACATGAACAGAGCTGACACACAGATTTTTCCCCTTTTGCAAACAGCGCTCTGCAGGCTGACTGAGTTGAAGCCTGGAACAAGCTACTTGCAAAACAAGTGCGAAACCCTAAGCCTGGTCTGGAAGGGGGAAGGATCGGGGGCAGACCTTGAGAATCTGAGATTAGCTAGGGCTGGCTCAGACTCGCTTTGCCTCCTGCAGACTTTGGGGTAAGTAGGGCCTGAGGAACTAGGGCCTGTGGTGGCCAGGGGCAGCTGAGGGGCCCTTCTGGCAAAGACAGGGGGGGGGGGGGGGGCGGGGGGGGGCCCTTCTGGCAAAAATTGGGGGGGGGGGGCAGCTGTGGGTTGGGAATGAGGGAATGAGGGGGGCCCGTGATTTCCTAGTTCCTGCATGGCTTCTGGGCCTTATTTTGCGGGTTTCTGGGCCCACTGATTGGCCCTGCAGGAAAGTTGGGGCAAGGGAAGCCTGGTGACAGTCAGGGCAAGCAGAAGGGAGAAGGGGAAGGAGAGGTGGGAGTGGGGCACAGCAGGGGCCACCCATGGGGTCAGGTGTGGTCTGCCTCAGCTGTCTTTTAGCTCCTGCCAAGCAGGGATTGCTGCCACCTACCTGCTGCCCTCATGTGAGTCCCCAGCCTGCTGCAGTCCCCACGCCGCTACCCCTGGGAGCTTATTGCCCAGATGGCAGTGGCAGGCACATCAGCGTGCTCCGGGCCAGTAGCTCACAGGCTGGGCTGGACTACCATGGTGCATCCTGGCAGAGCGGCTCTGGGGACAGGTGGGAGCCCTGGGTAGCATGCAGGAGCCAGTTAGAGCTGCAGTGTGCCCACAGCCCCACTCTACCAGGATGCACTGCACTGCTTGCGCTGTGTTCATTGCTGCCATCTGGAACCATTTGGACGTGAGCGCCCAGGAGAGCAGGGCAGGAATTGCAGTGGGCCAGGGACTCGCATGTGGGCAATGGGTGAGTGTCAGCAGTCTCTGCTCAGTGGGGGCTAAAAGGCAGCTGTGGCAGATACCACCTGGCCCTGAAGGTGGCCCCTGCTGCATCCCCATCCTGTTCCTCCTCCCTCTTCCCCTCTTCTTCCTTTCCCTCTTGCTCTCTCCTCCCTCCTGCTTACCCTGTCTGCTGCCAGGCTTCCCTTGGCTGGCGAGGGCAGCAAAACATGGGACACAAAGGCACTGGCAGGGTTGGGGGTGCTGTGGCTTGGGAGTGAGGGGCAATGGCTGGCGCAGGGCACCAGCATGTCTGAACTGCTCAGTGCCACAAAGCAGCAAGGGGGACAGAGCCACAGTTGGACCTGAGTCCTGGTGCAGGGGGAGAACTGCTGCCAGGAGGGAGCGAGAGGGGGGGGGCTGTGGGTAGGGAGTGAGGCGCACCAACAGGGCTGGGGAGGGCTGTGGCTTGGGAGTGAGGGACATGGGCATATCAGGGCTGCTCAGCATCCCAAAGCAGCAGTGGGGGTGGGCAGCTGCTGTTGGACCCGCATCCTCAGGAGCAAAGAGGGCAGGAGCTCTGATTTTCCAAGATGAAAACAAAATCAAATTCTAAAGTATATAGGTATTTATAATTTATTTTTTACAATGATTGAGGCACTGCTAGGCTTCCAAATTGCTTTAAAATTGTAAATATATCAATAAAACATTGTTTAAATGATACTTCTATAAGTAGTGGTGTTTCATTTTAATCATTGAAAAATGAGGATTTGGGGGTTTTCAATTAGAGAATTTGGGGATTTTTTTTTTTTTAAACAGAGAAAACTAGGGTCCCTGCACATGACTTTGAGAAGAGGCTGAGGGAACTAGGCTTATTTAGTCTGGAAAAGAGAAGACTGAGAGGGGATTTAATAGCAGCCTTCAACTACCTGAAGTGGGGTTTGAAAGAGGACGGAGCTAGACTTGTCAGTGGTGGCAGATGACAGAACAAGGAGCAATGATCTCAAGTTGCAGCAAGGGAAGTTTAGGGTGGATATGAGGAAAAGCTCTTTCACTAGGAGGGTAGTAAAACACTGGAACAGGTTACCCAGGGAGGTTGTGGACTCTCCATTCTTGGAGGTTTTTAAGACCCAGCTAGACAAAGCCTTGGCTGGGTTGATAAAGTTCAGGCTTGTCCTGCTTTGAGCAGGGGCTTGGACTAGATGACCTCCTGAAGTCCCTTCTTTTTATGATTCTAAGGAACAGAGTCCAGCTGACTCCGTACTAATAGGGGCAGATCATCATAACAATTTATGCTTCAGTACTTACAGAGAGAGTGATGTCACAATTCAGAATAGCTTTCTCTCAGTTCAGAGGAGATATTTGATTATTAAAACACTCATAGTTTTAATATTAATTCTTTGATACTGTTACTTTTAAGTATTTTCTGAATTCTTATAAACATCTCTTTCACTAAGTGCTGAATAGAGTTGCTTTTGAGAGGGAAATAAGGATGGCTTGCTTCAGAAGAACTAAAGATATGAAAAGTTGGAAGGAATTTCTTTTTCAAAGCAGTGTGAGAAGACTTTGTGCATTCAACTTCCTTATAAATGCACACACTCTTATGGCAGCAGATTTTTTTAAGGCTTAGTTGGTTCTATGGAGATACGAGTGCAAAGCTTCGGGCGCTGATTCGGCCCAATTCAGCAGTCGAATCTCCGAATCCGAATCAAATCAGGAGACCCTTTAATCTCTCTGAATCGAATCAGAACCCAACGAATCGAATCACTGTCCCCCAATTCGGGCTGAATCCAAATCGAATATGGCCCATTTCGCACAACCCTAGTAAGTGGCTATATTAAAAATACAGAGGGTCTGAGTTTGTGGAATTACTATTGATGTGCTTTTCAAGTATCCACTTAAAGTTTTCAGTAAATAAAACTTGCAACAAAATAGGACGAGAAATCTTAATATAAAAAGTTATGGCTGAGTGGTAATAGAATTGTACAAAACTTGGACTGGAAAGAAGCTCAAAGGGTCATCTTGTCCAATCCCTGCTCAAGACAGGATAATCCCTAAGGCATCCCAGATGGACGTTTATCTAACTTTTACTTAAAAACCTTCAATGATGGAGATTCTGTAACCTTTCAGGTAATCTGTTTCAGTGCTTCACCACTCTCATAGTTAGAAAGTTCTTCCTGATGTCTAACCTAAATTTCCCTTAGTGCAATTTTAAGCCCATTGCTTGCCACATCCCCAGTGAACACAGAGAGCAGTTGATTGTCGTCTCTTTGTAATAATCTTTTTTTATTTGAAGACTGTTATCAAATCCCGCTTCAGTGTAAGCTAAATAACCTCACTTTTTCCAGTCTTTCCTCACATACAATGTGTTTTAGACCTGTAATCATTTTTGTTGCTTTCCTCTCGATTCTCTACAATTTTCCCATATCTTAAAGCATGATGCCCAAAACCGGACACAGTATTTCAGGCAACACTTCACCAGTGCTGGACAGGGTAGAATAATCTCTTCTTGTAACATGCATATGTGGCAGTTCTGTTAAAACAACCTAGTATGCTGCTATTGGCTATTGTTTTGCAAAAACTGCTGCTTGCAGTCTGCTATAGCCTCCAGATCCTGTCGGTAACACTGCAGCCTAGTTAATCGTTCCCCAGTTGATATTTATGCATTTGGTTGTTTGCAGTATTTCACATTTGTCATTGTCAGTAATCTGGAAGACCACTTTTCCAGATTACTAGCATTCAAAATAATATAGATAATGTTCTCTGTAGTGCCTGCCACCACACCCAGTTTAGTGTCCTCTGCAGATTTACAAAGTATCACTCACTTCTGTCCTCCAGGTCATTGGTGAAAATCCTGACCAGCACTTTCAGAACAGAGCCCTGAGGGACTGGACTTTATCCATCTTCCATATTTGACCATGAACCACTGAGGACTGCTCTGAACACTAATAATCAACCAATTATGCATCTGCATCATCCTTATAGTAGTTTCATCCCAACCGTAGTTACTGCTAGTGGCTACTGTTTGGTTCATTTCTCTTTCTCTGTTTTTAAGAGCTTGAATTAGACACTCATAAAAGTGATGAGCTTGAATTCACTGGTTAGATATAACTATAGTATGGGTAATTACTACTTAAAGTCCTTGTGTACCTCTCTTGATTCTTCCTCCTCCTCTTGTTCTCAAAGTAGAGCCAAAACTGCAACTTTCCAGTGCTCTAGGCAGTGTGAACAGCATCCACCACGGACTAGAATTAGGCTCTGATATTCCTGTTCACATATTAATTCCATAGGGATTTATCTGTTGCTGTTTAGCCTGGTGACATTAAATCTAAATTGATCACTTTACTTCATCCTATTTCTCTGATAATTTTCCACAGGGAGAAAAGGAATCTGCCATTTACTCCTATTTTGGCATCAGTAAATCGTCTGGTGTGTTATCACCTGGGAACAGTGGCAAAAGGTTCCTTCATTATCACATTAGTGAAGATACCACGAATGATCCTTATGTATATTCACACCCAACTCAAAGGAAAAGTAAGGAAAATGGAAACCTATTTCTTCTTACTGTTGAAACAACAGCCTTCAGATGGTTAAATGTGATCCTAAGTTCCTTTGTACTTGTATTTTAAGGTGTGATTTTTGGAATGGTTGGGCCCTTACAGTTATTTGTATTCTATGGTATTTAGTGTTTTCTTAGATCCTTTGTCTTTTGTTACTATTAGTATTATTTTACAATACATGCTGAGATCTTCTGTTGTAATGTTAGGAAAATGCTTGTGCTCGCTGTATGCTGAAAGCCTGCATCTGCTGCCTTTGGTGCCTAGAAAAGTGCCTGACTTACTTAAATCAGGTAAGATGATTAAATATTTGGGTTTTTAAGTCAAAGGCTGATAATATATCAAATTCTCAGGAAGGCTGAGTTTGCACCTGAAAGTGTTCTAGCTTTTTCCTTACTCTGACATATGCTAAGTTGTACTTTGGAACCTGTCTGAACTGACCCTGGGTGTTTTAATTCCAGTAATGGGGATATAACTGAAGGTACATAGTGATCCCACTGAGAGCCATTACATTAGTCTTCATTTACAATGCTAAAGTGAAAAATTGTCAGTATTCATCTTTCTGGACATCTTGTTCTTTCGAAATGAATCCTGTAATCAGCTCTCAGTGTTATAGCAGGTTTGTTTCACTGTGGAATACAATCTCCTTGACACTCACTCCCCAGGCACATTTAAACTTGAAAATACATTTTCTGTAGTACAAGTGAAGATTTTAAAAAAATATTTGAGTATTACACGTTTGAGAAAAAAGCATGTCTTAATCTTAAATTAAATAAGTCATCCTTGTCTTAAAGAGGGAAGCCTACTGTGAGTTGTGACAGATAGCTAGTCACATCTATTTCTGAATATCTACTTTTCAGACAGTTGTGCTGCCATTTATTAATATACTATTTATTTCTTTTACTATTTTCAGTTTCTTTTTGCATTTGAGATTAACATTTATCTGTGTAGTTCCTTTGTCTGATTTCACAATCCTAAGTATTTTTGAACCCAGCTATTTTTTAAATGAAACCCCTTTCCCGTCTAGGCAGAATAAAATTGAGTGGAGTTTTTTGGACATTATTCAAGAAAGCTGGAGCGTTCTGGGTCCTGATGATCATGATATGTAGTGTGCTACTGCATTCAAAGTGCTTTTATAAACAGTAGCCCATCTGCCCTAGAGTTCATTTCACATGTAAGGCAACTGAGGCAGAAATCCTGTGTGATTTACTGAACCCAAGAGAAAATGGGTTTCTGAGCCAGAAATAGGATTTGTGAATTCATATTATCCAGTCCTGTGAAAAACCACTAAATAAAGCTTTTGAAAAACATTTCTCTTAAAGCAGGGGTGAGCAAAATATGATCCACAGGCCAGATTCAACCCGCCAAGGGATTTTGTGTAGCCCACAGTGGGTCCCTGGCCAGGTGTCGGGGGAAGCCCGGGCTGTGGCATTTGAGGCTGGTCCCACTGCCTCTAGGTGTATGGGGGAAGGGGGGGGCTTAACTCTGCCCAGTTGCCACTGCCAGTCTGCCCTGCACCCCCTACTGGGAGTGCCAGATGGAGGGGGCAGGCCGGTAGGGTCTCCATGGAGACTGGCCTGGGACTCCAGCAGGCAGGGTGAACTCAGCCAGGCAAATGGAGTTGGGCTGCAGGTAGGTGGGCAGGAAGCGGCATCCAGACCTGGGGCAGAGCTACAATCCACTCCCTGAATGTCCCTGCAACAGGCACCAGTTCCAGGCTCAGGGGCATACAGAGAGCAGATCGCAGCTCTGCCCTGGGCCCTGGCCTTGCACTGTCACCACCCCACAATCCCAGACCCAGCCCTGCCTGCCTGTCCTGCTTCTGCACTGTGCCCTGCCTGCAGGGGTCCTTGGCCAGTCTCCATGGGGGGGACCCTACCTGCCCACTCTGTCCAGCGCCCCCAGCAGTGGATGTGGGGCGGATGGCCTGGGGCCAGATAAAAACCAATTGCCACCCTCACCCCTGCACCAAACTGGGCCAGCACACGCTCCCTGCCCCCCTCCACTGCCCACAACAGCTCACTGAAACTTCTTAAGTGACCCTCCAGCCCAAATAGTTGCCCACCCCTGTCTTAAAGCATCAGTAGATTCCTTGGAGGTTCTAGACTAGACGTGATTCTGATTCACTCTAAATAAACTTGATTCATTTTGAGTTGTCTTGATGAGTATCCTCATTAAAATATATGATTCTTGAATATTTGTCTTTGCTCCCCTTGACTTTCTTGTTCAATAATACTGGACAGAATTAGAAATGCTGGCTATTCAAACATGTAGGGAGAAGCTTTTTAGCCCATATTATCCTTATTATTTCTTGATCTTTTTTGTTTTTGTCCAGTTACTTTGGTAGTGATGTCACTGCCACCACCGCTCCTGCATTGTGTTTTAATTAGGTTTTGAATATAAAGCTGGCAAATGCCAGAAAGATGAGCTGCAAGAAATGGTTGTTTCCTACAACATATGGTTCTTGATCTGCTGATACTGTGCTCTTCAATTTAGCCTCAAAGTGTGTGCTGAGTGGCTCAATGGCCAGCAGAAGCCCTTGACCCCTTTTTTAGTTTTCAAAACAGTTGGGAGCAGGGAGAAGTTTTTTAAATGTAGAATACTTTTTTTGTGCACAGTTCCTCACCTGATCTTTGGATGGGGCAGATTCTCTTGAATTGACAGTCATACAATATCATTTCTTGCTTAGTTTTCACCTTGGTAAGTGTCCTATCCAATCCAGTATGTTCTGCTGTGGAAAAGGGTAGTATAAGCAATGACTTGGTAGGGACCTCCCCATAGTAGATACTAGACAAGAATTGTGGGGAGTTTTGGAGAGGAGACTGAGCATCTGTAAATTAGCCTTCATTTTGCTCCTTCCCAGAATGCATATACAGCCACAGCTATCAACAGCACCAACTTCTGCACCTCTGCAAAGGACGCATTTGTCATTCTAGTGGAGAATGCTTTGCGAGTGGCTGCCATAAACACAGTGGGAGACTTCATGCTCTTCCTAGGAAAGGTAAGTCTAGGGGGCTTCATTGTTATGGACACTGGAACAAGTCTTACCCTGCCTGCTAGCTGAAACCTTTTTCAGCCATAGTTTGAATTCTAGACACAACCTCTTTGTTTTCTACACTTGCCCCATCACTGTCCCCCATTATATCCTGCTGCTTCCTATTAGGAACACAATTTATAAGGAACAAGCCAGGAGAGAGGAATGCGAGGGGAACCTTTCTAGGGCTGTAGGTGAACCTGGTCAGAATGCATCACCTGAAAATTCCAGCTTTTTATGGGAAAGCAGAAACCCAGAGTTTTGTTTGCCACCTGCAAAAAAAGGGCCAGAAGTGTTAGAGACTTTGGTTGGTTTTCCAGTGTAAAAGCTACAATTGTAAGGAAACAGCCATTTCCTACAAATTTTGTTGAGTCAAAAAGGCAAATTTCCTGTCCAAACCTCCTCTCTTCCCAAAATCTGACTTTTTTGGCCAATGTTGGCTATGGAATGGGATTGGAAGGTAGTGCATGGGGGTTGGTCCTGTGTTGAGGGGCTGTGAGTTGTCAGATTGGAAGGAGGAGGAACTGAAATGAAATATGCTGCAAGGGTTATAAGGTGTCTAAGGTGACTGGTGCTGTAGCTCAACACTTCAAGAATAAAAAAAGATACATTTTGTGAAAAGACAGAATTAAGTAATTTATTCCTGCACCTTGATGAATTCTGTACTCCTGTTTGCTAAAATGCTAATACCAGGCCACTAAACCTCTGTGGAATGAACTGCCTGTCTTCTGTACACTCATTAACTTGTATTAGATCAGACTACAGTGGGCTGAACTTCAAGTGTGGTTTTCTAATCCAGTACATAAACAAATCAATAAGGTGTGATGGGAATAAGCACCTAATGAAGATACCAGTGCCTGGGGCACATCTAAGTGCACATTTCCGTTTTCTGGAGGAAATGTTTCCTGGACATGTGCCAGGAAATGTCTCCCTGAAAAAATGGCATTTAAATCACTGGAAAAACACAGGGGTGACAGAGATGCTGAAATGAGCAGTGCAGAATACTAAACAATCGTGTCAGCTAAATGCTGCTGCCCTGCCAACCCAGCCCTTATTTCAACCTAATCCAGTGTCTGAATAATACAGTCGAGACTGACCTATTTTACAGTTTATTTTAAATGCAGAGATACAGGAACTTGTTCAGAAAGACTGCATTCCTTAGGGCCACATGCATTAGATGTTGAGAACTGGTAAGATATATAGATGTGCCCAACCCTGTTGTTAAAGTCACCATTAGAAAGAAGGATTTAGTGCAAGAATTAGTTCTCAGTTATTGTCATAGTGCAACCAGGAGAGAAGAGAATGAAATAGTGAAGGGCTGTTTTGGCTGAGTGTGGGCTGAAAAAAAATTTAAAAAAATAAAACAAACTTTGGTGGGTGAAGCTGGCTCTAGTGTGAATTAGCTTTGGGGAAGGGGTAGCATTCTATGCATAGGCTCAACCCTTGAAACCACACTGATCTATGGGTGCTGGACTCCCACCATGTGCTTTGCTTATTGCGTGGTGTGGGTGGAGCTCTAGTAACAGTGAGCGTCTCTGCAGTAGTTTGTTCTCTGCCTGAGGATGGAGAAATAATCAGGTTTTTGTGTGGTTCTCTACTCCAGGTCCTGATTGTCTGCAGCACAGGTTTGGCAGGGATTATGTTGCTGAACTACCAGCGGGATTACACAGTGTGGGTGCTGCCTCTCATCATTGTCTGCCTCTTTGCTTTCCTGGTTGCTCACTGCTTCCTGTCAATCTATGAGATGGTGGTGGATGTTCTCTTCTTATGTTTTGCAATTGATACAAAATACAATGATGGAAGCCCTGGCAGGGAATTCTACATGGACAAAGTTCTCATGGTAAGTTCCCTCACCTCTCGAGTCTAAGGAAACCACCCTTTATAAATTCTTCAGAGCAAGCTACCAAAGGCAGTCAACATAAAAAGGATGAAGATGGTGATTTTTCTAGTAAGAACTTTCTCTTGGATACAGCGAGGAAGGTTACACATTCAAATTCACTCTCAGATAGCCCCCACACTGGGGGGTTTCTTTTCCAAGACCGAAATGTGCCTTTGCTTACCTCACATACAAGAAACAGCAGCTCCCTGAAGCAGCTGAGCCAGAGGCTATGGAAATACAAATGAGTTTCCACAGGGTAAACTAATGTGCAAGCTTAGAGCATACCAGGTATTCTGTGGGCTTTTATGGTAAATGAAAGGTAGCTTGCCCTGTTTTCATAGTGGAGTAAGAGCATGCAGCTACCACAAAGTAGCTGACACTCTGAGTTCATGTCCTAGTTTACCTTGTGGTAACTTATTCCTGTACCCTTAGTTGCTATTAGCACCTTATTTGCTGGGGATAAAGTAAATAGCTGCATCACTAGTTTCTCAGTTTTTCTGTTCCTTCTCTCTCCCCCGCCCTCCCATCTGGTGAAGCTGAAAACAGATGTAAAAATCCTGTTCTTAAAACCAGAATTAAATTGAATGAATTTAGTGCTCAGAAAGAATTTCCTTGAGCTTTACACAGGGACCATAGAGTCCACTTTTTATCCCTGCAAAATGTGTTCTCAAGAACGTACAAGAAACAGACTCAAAGCAAATGATTCCAGACATTTGGAATACTTGCTGGCAGAGTGTTTCAGGGTCTTACTTTAACATCTCTAGTAAGGTACTACAGCACTTAGGATTTATAGTAAATAATTCTAACTAATACTGTTTCATGAAAATATAGCATGTTATCTAGAAAGATGGCATAGGTAGAATCGTTCTGATACTTTATCAGTCTGTAGCCAACAGTGGATCCAGGAGGTCTCACAAAATACTAGCAACATGAAAGGTAATAAGTCTGACTCCAAAATGCTTGCACCTTTTCATTAAAAATACTACAGAACAAACTCAGCTTGTGACATGTTTAGTAGTAACATATGATGCATAACTATTGTGATGGTATAACAAACAAGAGGGAAGGTGGTCTGTTGTGGAAGAGTTTTAAGAGTTTGTGTTCAGAGGGATAAAGGAAAACTAGAAAGTAGGGGTGCACCTATAGAGATTTGGGGGGCCGATACCAATAGCTGATTTTTAAGGAGGCATATTGGCCAATACTGATCTGATTTCCAATACAGCTGCATCCAGCTGGTAAGTTTTTGTTGTGATAAAAGGGAAGGGGGGAGGGGAGGGGCGTGATGGGGGCAGAGTAAGGCCCCCCGCAGTGAGAGAGGGGCTGGGGCTGAGGCTGGGGCTGCCCAGCCAGGGCAGGGTGGGCACAGGATGGAGCTGTGGTTCATCTGGGGGGTGCAGGGAGACGGAGCAGCTCCTGCCCAGGGGCTTCCCTCAGCTCTTCCGGGGGGGCGGTGGCAGTGCTGGGAGTTACAAATGAGTTCCCACAGGGAACTTAGCCCCACCCCGCAGGAATAGCCCAGTGCAGCCCCTTGCCCCAGCCAGCAGCTGCAGCCTACCATGCGTGCCCCACGCAGATCTGGGGCACCCCCTTCCTTTCCCCCTGTGCCTTCCCAGCATGCTTGCAGTGGCAGGAGCTGCTCCCCCTCCCCACGCTCCCTGGACGAGGACTCTGTCCCACGCCAGCCTTGCCCCAGCCCCACTCCCTCCCTCACTGCGGGTGATCTTGATCTGCCCCCCACACCTCTTCCCTCCTACCTCTGAATCCGCCACAACAGACTTACCAGCTGTGCACAGCTCTCCAAGCTGTCAGGCTGTGCTCTCCACTGCCTGTCTGCTGCTCTGCGGCTGTGTGCGCACACAGACATTTATCAGCCAAATTATTGGTCACATCAGGCCAATTTTGATATAGTCAATTTTCTTTATATTAGTGCTGATCTGATATCGGACCAGTGTATCAGTGCACCTCTAGAAAGCGCTGCTGGTAGTAAAAACAAACAAAGAAAATAGAGAATGTATTCCCTTCCTTCCAATGCAACAGATTAATAGGAGCATGACACTCCTTGCTGCTTTCACTGATGGAATACGTAGTGTTTGGAATCTGTATTTATTACCTGCCCATCATCATCAGTGCATGGAGCCCATGGACAGGAGGGTGTACATGTGGTAAATGTGATAGTTAAAAAAAAAATTGTCTGGCTGTCAGTATTTTTTGATACTATATGGGAAATCTGACTGCCAGAGGTATAAGAAACAGAGGAGGTATCTTTTGTCTGTCCTGTTCACATTTTGAGACAAAACAGACGCAAGCCTTGTGATATTGTTGGGGAATTGCATATTTGAGCCAGAGGCTTGTACTCCAGTAGAAGAAAGCTTAAGATACTTTATCTTGCAGGAGTTTGTGGAGAACAGTAGAAAATCAATGAAAGAAGCTGGCAGGGGAGGTGGAGCTGACGGTAGAGAGCTGAAACCAATGGTAGGTGCTGATGAGGAGGTGGCTGTCCTCCAAGAATTTCACTTTTACTTCCTCTCCCTCTTTATTTTTACTGACTGCACTTCTTCGGGGGAAGTTTTGGTTTTCTGTATCACTCAAGATGTTCTGCTTTTTCTGTTTGTGAGCTTGCCTATCACTTGGATGGCAGAGTGTTTGTTACAGCTGAGACCATCTCCTGTAAAAGTAAGATGAAAGGAACTGTATCTCATTAAACAAATGTGGTAACAACACTGAATTAGGATTAGTAACGCCCATAAAACAATAGATAACTACACTCAGACAGTCCACACTGCCGAGAGTTTTACATTATGATGGCTAACAAATCCATTATCAGAACATTCCAACTTAGTTCTCTTTCCATTGCTGAACTAAACAGTTCTTGTTAGTTGAGTCTTCTGAATCAAAGCCTGAAGACTACAACCAAGTGTATCCTGTTGTGTCAAAATGAGTTCATGTACTTCAAGTTCACACCAAATGATTTCATACTGTGCTGAGGGATTAGATACAGTGATTCCTTTCAACCTGCTTAAAATCGCACTTCTCCCAATTGTTTGTTATTATAGCTAACTATTTATGTTGCTATCTTGTGCCCTTTTTCCATCTCACGCTGTCAGCTGCCAGGACAGAGTGAACAATGTCATTTATGCTTCTGCAGTCTTAACTAATACCTGTTTTACCATTAGAATGGCATTGTGTATTTAAGTACCCTGTAAAAAAAACAAAAAAAAACCCAGCAGTAACTAATGTCACTGATGTAATTGTCCCTGTTGCAAGGTGATCTTAGAATTTAACAAACTGAGAACAGATGAGTAGTGGAGTATAAAAGATGAGCAGTGTCTGACCTCTGAACTAGTTAGGTGATCTTGTAATATACTGACACTGTATACTAAAATCATCTCTCATCAAGCTGGAACCTATCACAGGAGAAATTGGGGTTTATTGATTGCTTCAAATAAGTGGTTATATTTAAAAACAAAAATAAATTTAAACTAAAAACAAGAAATGAAACCAAAAAAAGTATATAGTGGTAATAGAAAATTCCTTTTAAAATGGGGTACACAAAGCTCTGGTTCTAAGCAGTTTTTCAGTCCTTAGTGGGACTCAGTTTCTCCTATTTTGTCTGTACAGTTAACCTTAGAATATCTGCTTCAGTCTAAATGTTACTGTAATTTAAGGCCTGAACAACTGGCTGTTCCGTGCTTACCAACTTTTTTTTCGGGGAGTAAGTTTAGCTGAGCAGCAATTAGATAGTCACTGGGATTCTCCACCTCTGGAATTTAGGTGCATGTCCCATTAAAATAAATGAGAATTAAGTGTTGCTAGTCCTCTAGGCTGACTTGAAAAATCTTGGCCAAAAGCTTTATTTGAGTTGGGAGTGAATTGCTTCCTACTTGCATTGACCTCTCAGGTAATACAAGCTGTTTGCTTGAGGTGTTAAACACTCTTGGGCAAAGCCCCCCCAGACTTGACTGCTTACAGCTTGGATCCTGCAAGCATATTTTAGCTCCTGTGAAATACATCCCCACACTGACAAATGGGAATGGTAACATTTGACAGCCAGGCCTTGGATTTACAAAGCTTATTTCATGTAATCAGGTTTGGAAGTGACTGAAGGATAAGTTTCATAATACTAATAGGAAGATGGTAGGAATAGGAAGCCAGGGCTCTCATGGTGGAATACTCCCAGTTCTGTTGCCGCCTTCAGGTCTAGTGGGATCATATTGTTCCAGTTGTTGGGTGCCCAGGTTCAGCTGTACAGGACTCTTGCTTTTTAAAGGTAGACTAGACACAAGAATATTGGTACCTAGATATCCAGAGTGCTAATAGTAATGTTAACATTTTGGAAGAAAACAAGCTACATGCAAAGCAGCCTCCAGCAGTGAGGCTTTAGGATGAGACCTTTGCGGGAACTTACCCCACAGCTGTTTCCTGTAAAGTTCTTTGAACATTTCTTTAAAGATCTGATAAAGGTTTCTTCAGGATTCATAATCAGATGCCTCCTCAGTCTGTTCTAGTATGGCAGTGCCTTGTATTTCTGCAGCTGAATATCCATGAATTTGAACCCTTACTACTGCAGTTTCTCTGTATGTAAAATGGGTATATCCCTCAGGAGTGAGGATTAATTCAAATATGTAAATGTCTACCTGTAATTACAGGTAAACATTAATCATAACTGATTACAATGATAATTATTATTAGTGTTATGAGGAGCTCCCATCTAGGTGGAGACTGTCTAGGTTCAAGAAAAGGCTTTTCAAAACATTATTGTTTTCAGTGATCCATTGGATCAGTTTCTTTAATCATTCTTTGACCTCTGTTTAAAACTGTACTGTATGACTTTGTTTTCTAGGCCTCTGGAGCAAGTTCATCTTGAAACTAGCCAGCCATTATGGAACCCATTGACATTCCAAAACAATATTTATATAAGCAGCCAAAATCAGAGAAAAGGAACAGGGATTTAATACTTTTTTTAACAGTTATTTTTGTGAAACATGTACTCTTTTCATATACGGGTGGCTTTTAAGAGCAACTATCATTGTTCCATTTTTATTTTTTTAAGTAATTGTGGTCACAGAAATATGAAGAATCTTACTTGATTGACATTTTATAATCTGGAAAACGAATCATTGGCTCAGAGTATCATGTATCAGACTATTTCCCTCAAAATTATCAAAGCAATATAGGGCAGGCCATTTAGAATTTGATATGAAATTCAAACAAAATTATAGGGAAATACTTCAAATAAGATAGAATTTTAGAAGGGGTTTTAGTAAGAGCTGTCAAACCTTGTTTGTAGTTCATCATTTTACTTTACGACTCTGGGGCGTAGTAGGTTACACGTTCAGTTTTGTTTCGAAGTTTCGGATGATATCAAAATAACCAACTCCTCAGGTATTCAGATGTTGTGGGCACCCCTGCATCTTTTGTGAAAGAGAAACTAGAAAATGGGAAAGGATCAATTTATATGCAACTTCTTCCTGTTTTACATTATTCCCTGACCCTCCCCTTGAGTTCCTTTGCACTTCAGCAATGCTCCTTTGAAGGGTATGAACTCTCCAAAGGAGCAGCTGAACAACCTGCTCTTTAATGCTCAGCCTTAGCCCTACTCACCAATTCGGGATTAAATGGAAGGATGCTGGGGAGTGGGGACAGAAACAAACTATACAAAACTGTACTGTAAGTTTTATTTTCTTAACTCCAGAGAGATTTGGGAAGTGCAAGTGTAAATGGCCAATCCTTGGCTGTTGTCTCATCCATATTTGTACGTACTGTAGCAGGCGGGTAAACCAGGAAAGGGCAGCTAGGTGCTTCTTTGGAAGTATCACTGCCATGGGATCAAAGTGATCAAATGTTCAAAAGAGAACTTTTTTCATTCCTTAAGCTTACCAGATATGAATGCTAATATTTCATTGTTCAGCTTCTTGTAATGGTAAATGCTTAAAGTGTATTTGCTAAGAAATCATGATCTGTCTATGCGATATACTCCTTTTGTTACAATTTTTTAAGAAAACTATTTTTGTTAATGTAAAGTTAATATTTCAGAGCAGAATTTTTAAACTTATTGCACTAAATACAAAGCTCTGTAAGAAGAAATAATGCCTCAATGGTTTGTTCACTCCATACAAGAAAATCTTTTGAAAGATAGCAGCCCTTCTGGATAGGCTTTGCCAATGGATTAGAGGTGGGTGGGTATGTATGTGTGTGTGTGTGGAGGAGCATACAATTAATGTCACCATGGTTTTAAGCTGTTTGCTTATGTGCTTCCTTTCAAAGGATCAGACCTTTAAATTGCTGGCAAAAGTCAAATGGTCACCTGTATCTTTTTTAATCAGTGCTCTTAACTACTGGTGATAACTAAACACTTCGGTTTTGTTCCCAAGTCATTTGATACTGTCATTTTTTCACATCTCTTGCAATAAATCAGAATTACTCTTCTCATATCTCAGAAACCAAACAGGATGAAAAGTCAATTTAGAAAGTAGCTGCTTGGGGAGACAGGGAGTACTAGCTTGGGCTTCAATCCTGCAGACACTTATATACCAGCTTAACTCAATGTGGTTCCATTGACTTCAATAGAACTGCTCACACTGGCAAAGTTATGCCTGTGTAAGTATTAACCAGGTCAGAGGTTTAGTCTAGGATTCCAGTGGGAGCATTGAGCAGGTCTCATTTAATATGAGCTAGCTGTCTGCTAGGATATCTAGAAGGTAGATAAACCTTTGTGCACAGAAGGAATTGTTGCTGTAGCAGTAAGCAAAAGCACAATGGCTCTGCTGCAGCTCTGCATTTTGGACACTAAATAGATCAGTGTGGTTTGCCAATGCAAGTTAAGCACTGGGACATGACTTAGCTGCTCCACAGAAACCGCTCCCTCAAGAAGACATCATTGAGGTGCTCTGCTGGAAGCTCTGGATTCTGTTCGTGTTGACATCCTGACGCCAGATTCCTGCCACATGTTCCACAAGCTAACGTGCTCTGCTCCCTGGAGGCCTAGAGTTGGGGGATGCTTTTCAGTTAATCTACAACTAGAACTGTAATCAGAAACAAATTTTGTATTTTTGTATAACTTGACTGTGCGCCATTTTTATAACAGGTCCTGTTTTACAAATAAATTTGTTTTATGAACACAGTGTTTAGAAATTACGGGAAACACTTTTCTATGGGTAGCTGTAACATTCAAGTAATATAAAGTTTTGATGAAAATCATGTGCACCATTCTTTGTTCACACGCAGGCCTCCTAGTGGCACTTCTAAGGCTTTGGAGTTCAGTCAAAGCAGAAGCTTAGGGAGAAAATTGGTGTTAAGGCAAATTCCAGTACAGAGGGTTTGTCCTGACAGTACAGATGGGAGGAATGTGATGCCTCAGGAAGTAAAATCATCCACAGCTAAGAATTCAGGCATTGCCAGCAATAAGGATTAAGAGGTTTCTTCCTAAGTGGTTCTCCAGGGCAGTGTAAGTGCTGCTCTGGAAGGTCATCCATTCCAGCCCCTTGCAGGAAGAGAGTGATTTGGAGAGCAGGAAACCTCTCCCTGGTGATGTCCGCTAAAATAAGAAGGCAGAGGGATTCACCGGTTCAGTTTGAATTCAAGACAATAGCCAGGGTGAGGGGAGCTTCCTACCATGTGGTTTGTAAAGAGTCTCCAGGCTTTTATGCATTGCATTCCTCATAGTTTTAGTCAGTTGGGTTTTGGCCTTTCAAGCCACCTTGAAAGGAGGCTGAGCAGCATACATGGTCTTTCTCCCCCCAGAGGTACCTGTGTGCAACCCTTCAGAAGGAAGGTGTAATGGAAGCACGGGGAACAGCAGTCTACTCACCAGGGGAAGAGCTTATCTCCATATTTCTCTTTCAGCAGAGGGGCTCAAACACCCAAGAGTCAGCTCCCCTTTGCCCTGCTGATCTCAGCATCCTCACCTCCCTCAGGCCATGATACAGGACATCACCTGGACTGATGGGATGGGGCTAGAGTGCTAGCCCACCCCCTCCTCTTCTCAGCACTTTCAGTCACTGCGCTCACTGTATCTGATAAAACACATTGCCGTCTCCAAGATCTTGATGCTACTCCACTACTAGATACTAAGTGCATGGTCTGAATAGCATCCCCACCCCAACCTTAGTTTGGTGGCTGTGGTTTCATTCCAAGTCCTATGGCAGGCTTGCATTTCATACACGGCTTCCATTTGGCTTTAATGCAAGAGAGTTCTGTATGTAAAAAAGTGACCAAGAAGGGAAGGAATGTTGTAGCCATGGTGGTCCAGGAAATGTATTTGTGTTATCTTTTGTTAATATAGTTGGGAGAGCTGTTAGACAAGCTTTCAGGTATCAGGTGCCTGATTAAGGACAACTGATGCCTGAAATTTTGTCCAACAACTCCCTAACTATACAGCTTGGCCAATATGAGAGAGAACAAAAGATTCTTGCCTCTCCAACCAAGAAGGGAGAACCTTAACCTGGAAGATTCATTTAGGGACTTAAAAGCGAATCCAAGGCTCCCACCCCAAGTTCCCTCCTAACACCCTTGGGTGGTGGTAACTTCCTACTGAAAGGGCTTTTCCTCATAATAAAAAAAATGCTGTGCACCAAAATGCCCCCTTTTTGGGGTGCAGGGCAGACTCAATGTCCCGTCTGAGTCAGCATTACACCGAGTAATCGACTCACATTTGAGTGTTTACATTTTTAATGTGCCCTTGTAACATGCACTTTAGGGGTTTGCTCTGTGTGGTTACTCTATGAATGTATATGTTGTGGATTCAGAGTAAAACGCATAGGCTTATATTACATGATTACCACACAGTGATAATTCTGGTCTCATTGCATATTATGCATTATATTAAATAATGCAATCAATTAGTACAGTGGCCAAGATCTGACCATCTACATAACCTTAGACATCCAGTTCTCTCAAGTTTTGGCTTGTACCTATGCGCGCACAAATTTCTAAAGATCAATATTTCGTAAGTGTTTAAATAATTAATTCCTTTATATTTAAACAAAATCTGAAAGGATTTTGCCATCTTTAGAAGTCTTCAAACATTTTTAAACCCAGTACAAAACTGACAGACTTGTTTAAAACATGAATTATGAGCTTGTCATCTTTAGAAATAGAAGTTTACATTGTGTGTTTAATCTTTAAGAATCAGTTCAGTCAATTAATTTTTGCCATTAAGGCTGTTTCCTTTATTTTCATTGCTTAGTGGAAGAACTTGTGTATGTCTAGAATATTGCTCTGTTTCTTGTGCTGTCTAGCACAAGGAATCTCATGGTACTTGCCTACGTGGTCAGATTGGAGTTAGGTAGAGTCTCATCTCCTGTGGCATGACAGGAAGTCTCTTGTCTAGCACAAAGCTACCAAGTTCAGCCTGCACACCCTGCAAGAGAATAATCAACCAAAGTTGTTTTCAGTTGCTTTTGAAATCACAAAAACTGCTAGTAATAAGTCAGGTAATTTCATTTCAAAATAATTAAGCCTCCTGGAACTCTCTTTTAAGCAATTTTAAATCCTCTGGCGCAGAGTGTTTCATGAAGCAGGAATTGTTAGTATTGTGCCCATACCTATTTCTGTGGGAAACCTCAAAAGAGTTAGAGCAGAACATTCTGTAGAATGGGTGGGCAAAATGCGGCCTGCCAGGCCATTCTAACCAGCCCGCGGGGCCCCTAAAAGATCTAGAAAATTAATATTTATCTGCCCTGGGCTGCTTGCCATGTAGCCCTCAATGGCTTGCTGAAACTCAGTAAGCGGCCCTCTGCCCATAATAATTGCCTGCTCCTGCTGTAGACCCTATATGAAGAAATTGGCCAAAATGATCCCTAGCAATGCTTTCAAAAACTACTGGGAGACCATGTGGCAGGCTTGCATCTTAGAGCACCTGGCAGTTTTTGTAGAAACACCGGATGCATTTTAGACCTAAAGTTGTTGCCAGGTGTTCACGATGAAGCCACTTCCATGAACCAAAATGCTCAAGTGCTTGCAAGAATGCCCAGACACCTTCAATCATTACTGTTAGACAATTAGTACTTGAGTTCCCTGCTCTTTCCTCCGCAACAGTTGTCACTGACACCTTGCAGCCCAATGCCTGCAGACCCCTTGTTTGAGGTGGCACAGGTATGAACTTGCACAAGACCAGTCAAAGGTAGTAGGAGCCCAGCTTCCACTGAAATTCAGTGAGAGCTCTGTGCCCAATTCACTGCACCTTTGCAAAAAGCTGTAGCCCTTCAGTATACTTCCCATTCTGTCAGTACTGGGCAGGTTTTGGTTGGGAGTGAGAGTGCCCAAGTATGAGATGAGGGAGCAGCTCAGCA